TCCTGATAATCATCAAGTCCACACTAAAAAAAAAAAAAAAGACTGGTTGTGGTGGCTCACCCCTGTAATCTCCAGCACCTCGGGATGCAGAGGTGGGAGGATTGCTTGAGCCGGAGAGTTTGAGAATAGCCTGGGCAATTTGGCGAGACCTCGTCTCTACAATAAATCAAAAAAATAAGCCGGGCTTGGTGGCTCAGCCTGTAATCCTGCGCTTTGGGAGGCTGAGGTGAGTGGATTGCCTGAGCCCGCGGGTTCGAGACCCGCCTGGGCAACTTGGCGAGACTTCATCTCTACAATAAATCAAAAATTAGCCAGGTGTGGTAGCGCGCGCCTGTAGTTTCAGCTACCCGGAAGGCTGAGGCGGAAGGATCGCCGGAGCCCAGCAGGTCAAGGTTGCGGTGGCCAGGAGCGTGCCACTGCACTCCAGTCTGGGCAACCGAGTGAGACTCCAACTCAAAAAAATAAATCAGGCCAGGCTCAGGGGCTCACACCTATAATCCTAGCATTTTGGGAAGCCAAGGTGAGAGGACTGCCTGAGCCCCCAGGTCCAAGACCAGCCTGGGCAACTTGGCAGGACCTCATTTCTACAATAAATCAAAAAACTAGCTTTGGGTGTGGTGACACATGCCTGTAGTTCCAGCTACTTGGAAGGCTGAGAAGGGAGGATCACTTGAGACCAGAGGTAGAGGCCGCAATGAGCTGTGATCGCGCCACTACTCTCCAGCCTGGGTTACTCTAAATAAAAAAATGAATGAGTGAATACATGAACGGATGAATGAATGAATAAAAGCAATCAGAAGTAGCAGAAGAAATTTATGACCAATACTAGGAGTCCTATGTTCACTTCCTGTGAGCCAGTCACAAACAAGCTGAATAGCTCGTACAAAACTCATTACCTTCCCCAGGGCCTCAGTTTCCCCGCCCCACAATTGAAGGGACTCTTCCTTTCCTGCTCTGAAGTTCATCACTGACACCGTGTTGTGAAACTCCTTTTTCTAGTGGCCCAGGGCCTGTCCCTCAACATTTTCCAGACCAACATCTCAAATGTCTATCGACAGAATGGAGACACAAAATGGGGGACTCACCAAGACAGAAGAAGACAGGCAGGGATGAAGACATGGTTCCTCAACCCCGTCCTGCACTCTGTGGCTGGAGAGGGAAGTCGCAGGGGTCTGGGGCTGAGGCACAGGATGAGATGGGCGTGAGGGACAC